CCAAACAGTCATTCATGTGGGTGTAAACGTCCATTAAATGAAATGATGAATTTTTGAAGAATTTTGAAAACTGAAAATCTTGAAAATCTCCTGTATGTCTGCACTGCATTTATAAAAGCACCCGGCAGCAAGTGGTTAACAGTGCCAACATTATGAATGGCTACCACCAGACCGTATTACCAATGTGAACCAGTCGACCTTTGGCAGGCTTTAAACCCTTTTCGACTTGCTTGGCTTCACAGCATGAGTACAACTAGAATCCAACCCAGTTCCTCAACTTAGTTTTTCGCACCAACCATAAACAACCACCGGAGGTTAGATGGCCACTGTTCAAAGCAAAACGAATATGCCAATGGCAGCATTGCAGGGAGGTTTTTCAAGTCGGTTGTAAACAGCCAAAGGTCAGTAAAAATAACGCTTTGCAGTCATTCAGTCCATCTGTGTCCACAATTTGGCGATGTGCACACATAGTACAGCCTCATTCCCTCCTGCAAAAAAAAAACACAATGGGATGTTTAAAACCACTACACACACACCCCTTTAACAATTTATTTATTCAACGTCAATAACAATCCAAAAGATGGCTGCCGTGTATAACCTCTATAGAGAGCTCCCTCTTTCTAAGCAAGCAGGGCCTTGCAGAGCAATATACTGAGAACAACAAACAGATACGGTCTCGTGAGAGACGGTAGCAAGAGGACATTGGTTGCATGCTTGCATTTGTACAATTTTTTGGTTACCTCTGCTCTGTTTGTTTGTGACTGGAAAAAAACAGATTCCTTGTGTTTGCAGCGAGGGCATGGATGGTCCTGCGTCCTCGGTAAAGTGGGGTCTGCCACCACCTCTGCGACTATCTGCGTCAGCTCGCTGGAAACAAGCACAGAATTTCATTATAAGTCCTTGGGGCAAACAGGCAATATACTGAAAATGTGGGGGTTGGGGGCTCAGGGATTTGGATTTCATGATCTAAAAACTGCTCTCAAACACACCACTGTACCAATTTCCTGAGACTTTACTTTGTGCAACACACGTCACAAGGATACTTGTCTCAAATGTTTTGCTGTTAAATGCTTACCCGATGACTAGGAATATAACAAAACTCTGTTATAGAGGGGACCGGTAACAGGTGCCATCCCTTAACCCCTTCACGCCGGGAGACGGTAAGAGCCGCCGTAAAAATTGGTCTTTGTGTGTAGCCCAGAAATGAAAAGACCGAATTTGCATCACAATCACCAGCCTCACAATAGTCCCCACTTTGAAAAAAGGCAACGGGAATGTGGAAGCGTGAGTAGAGCCGCATGCCACCGAACAATGAACCTTTTCAATGTGTAATTCAAAGCGTGTAGAGCACGCAGGGCCACAAACCGAGAATTTCCGGTTTGGCAGGTGGCCTTCATGGCCAAGCGAGGCTGGAATTCTTGGAGTCGGCTTTCGGAAAGAAATTCCCGTTGTCAAGGGGTTAATGGAACCATTAACTCAGATAATGCGTGCTTGATAAGCAACTCTGTTTTATAACACACAGCTCAAGATAATTTTGATTGGAGGCTGGGAGATCGTAAGGAAAGCTGACACAGAACAAATGACTTCTTAATGAATTCAGCTCAGAGTAGATTTTCGATTCTGCATCCCTGGAAAAGACTAGAAATGTTTGGCGTACAAGATGTGCAACTGCACCTGTTCAAGTACATTTACTTACTCCACTTCGTGCGTGATTTTGTTGACGTAAACGCAGTTGTTGTCTGCCTCTTGTTGGTAGTCACAATTTCGGCACTGCAATGAGCGATAACATGTCATGACACACAAATCCCGTAAATTATGCTATACGAATGCTCCAAAGTGTGGACGACTGAGTTTTATCAAATTATTTCAGCTCATTTGAACTCACTGACAATTGACTGAAGCTTGGGGAAATTGTCCACGTTTGACTGAAACCAATGGAAAGCTTGAAAAATTATGCTTTTTTTACCTCCATTCACACTGATTTATCATTGAGGTCAACGTGACCTAAACTGAAACACAACTTGAAACTTTGTTCTTGGCGTATACATATGTGCATATATATGCACATAGGCAGATGGTTTGGGCCTTGACTTTTAATCAGATGATACGCAGGCAATACGTCTTTGTTTTATTCATGCGTGAACAATGCACTTCGAGCAAATTACATGTACATGGAATTTCCTTCCAAGTTACCTTGTGTTTTCACACCATCTTAAAATGTCCATGCCCCGGATGCCATAAATTTAGTAATTTAATACGGCCCAAATAGAAATCTCTATTAGCTTTAGTAAAAGAAAATATTCAGATCTGATTTCATCAATACAAAATTACACTACAATTAGTAAGAACACAGAAACATAAAAGATGCGGTGCTAACCGTGAACTACATCAAAAGATTGGCATACGTTTCCCCTACAGTATGAAAGTGGAATTTTCCCACATTCTAACCATAATGATGTACATGTAGCTCTTCCTCAGGGCTGTTTCATCATGGTTATAGTAAGAACTAGACTGAAAGCTGAACTTGATATCACGGTAGGAACTGCCTCATTAGGTTCATTGATTTTTCTATGCTCTCATTTGACGAAACACCGTTGCTGCGCCGCATCTTCATTTTACCCCCACTAGATATGTACAAAAAGAGTGGAAACTTACAGCATACAGCAGAACTTTATTTTCTTTGTCTTCCTTCGGATAGAGCATGTTATTGCTGCAAACATGGCCAACATTCACAAAGAAACAAAAATTACTACTGTGTGTACAACAATACTACTAGTTCTTGTCTGTCATAAGTAAAGGTTTTGAGTTTCATGTACATGTACGATTAGCCACTGGAATTAGGCATATCAGGTGGGCGAGATGAGACGACGACAATGAATCACTTAGAAAACACTCAGAATTGTTCAGACCGGTGTCATGGGGGCTGGTGCACAGGTGCGATTGGGTGTCGTGGTGCTCATATGGATTTCCTTCCCTGCCAAGTTTTTGCCCAGTTGAAAAGAAATTGGTTTTCCGTGGCTTTCCCCAGTCAAATTTGGCATGTTAGGGTTTACATGTTACCAAGCATGCCAAGCGTTGCTTCCAAATTTCCAAGGGAAGGCTTGATATGATTGCTCCTTCGGTTGTGGTATAGGCCTAGGCAACCCCCAGGACTGTGGGGTCCGCATCCGTTGTCCACGGACTTCCAAGAATGTGGATAACGGACCCACTAATGTTACATGCACTGCTTCTGGGGGTAATCCTGGTAGTTTTGGCACTCACTGAGTAAACCAATGAAACATATATCTCAAAAAACTTCCAAGCACTTATAATGGAAAGAGTTTCATATACGGACGCCACTTGACACTCTGTGCACAAACCCAACTGGTCTGAAAAATTGTCAGTGTTTTCTAAGTAAACAACTTGGTTTTCTTCCCTCCGAAATGGAACTCTTCTGGACATGTTTTGCATTCTGGAGGCTACAGTATATCACAGGTCACTGTGTAGGGAATAATTACTGCCATTTGTATATGGAACTCTTCCCTGTTCTATCAGGCTAATGAATGTTGCAAAATTATGATCATCATGATTGTGTTCCACAATTTTGAGTCTGGCATGTTTGACCCCGGACAATACCGGACTACCATGACTACTGCCTGGCGCTGGCATGACTGGAGCAGTGAAGGCAGTCTACCTCACAGACATTATAAACGCATAGACCGCCAGTCTTGCGCGTATAACTGTGATTTTGAAACTTATGGGCAAACAATGGGCGAAACTGAGTATGGCAGAGCATTCAGTACGCATTATGCGCAATGCACTTACATTGCCTGTATTTGTCTACATGTGCTTCCAAACACGTTCACCTTGTTTGCTCTTTGATACCGTGGGTACTGCTAGGCCTTACCCCCAGAACTGTGGGATGTTTTGGATGGGACATGTAGGATCTGGCGGTCTATGCTTTTGCCTTTTAATGTCTCGAGTGTGTGTGGTCTACCCTGCCCTTCCTCTGACCTACCATTCTTGACAGAAACGGATGCCTACAAACCCAGGCCCACTGTCCGTTTGGGCGTCCTGTCTACTGAAATCCAAACTCATTGCTGAATTCGATTGAAAATAGTCTCAGGTATGACAGAATTAGGAAACTTGTTTCGCAAAAACGTGGGCTCTGTATACGAAAAGCGACTCGAACGCTTCTTTGAGTACGCGCGCCCTCAGCGGTAGAAGTGGGATGGGAGTCCAAAAATTGTACAGCGCCGCCAAGCGGCGTTATGCTACTCCAAAGTCGGGCGCGGTCAACCATGATCAATACAAATAACATGGCAAGTTCGATCAACGACAATTTGTCGACCACTGGTCGATTTTGCCTGGTGAATCATGGAACAGTTTGTTGTTATAATGACTGGGTATGTTGGTGGCACATATAAAGGGGAAGAAAACAAAAACACTGAAAGGGGAGAGCACCAGCACCGAACCTGTGGGAACCCAACGGAAGAAGTCGAGTCTTTCACCTATCTGGGAAGCATCATGGCGAGAATCAGCAAGGCAAGAGTAGGATTTACCAGCTCAAAAATATGTGGAGCTCCAAAGAAATATCGCAGCAAACAAAAATCCCGCATTTCAACTCAAATGTTCAGTTGTGCTGCTTTACAGTGGTGAGACACGGAGGACGATGAAGAAAACCATAAAAAAGGTCCAGACACTCCTCAACAATAATTGCCAGAGACGAGTCCTCCAAATCCATAGCCACTGGCCAGAAAAGATCAGCAATACTGACTTATGGCAGAGAACACAGCAGTTGCCAGAAGAAAATGATATAGGGAAAAGAAGATGAGGTTAGATTGGGCACATGCTGAGAAAATCAGCATCAAGTACCACCTGACAGGTCCTCATGTGGAATCCCCAAGGAAAGAGGAAAAAAGGCAAGCCGAAAAACACTTGGCGACGGGACGTTTAGTCAGATACCAGGAAGATGGGCCTCACATGGAAGAAGCTGGATGTGAAACCGCAAGACACAGGGTTCTGGAGGACTCTTGTCGACGGTGCATGCCCCAGATCATGGGCATAACTAACTAATGTAATGCTGGTGGCACAGACATCATATTAAAAATCTGGACCCGTTATCCTTTCATCAGCAAGCAGAGGTCAATGAAGTTGTTGGCGGCCACCTCACCGTGCCAGATACAAAGGTAATACAAAGGGTTGCTTGCACTTTGATAACTAATTTCGTTCATGGCATCAATAGCTACAATTAAATGGCAAGTGAGCCGACCATATTGCCTTTGTATTTGGCACAGCAAAATGGAAGCTGGTTGCATCATTCGGGACAAAAGCATTGTGAGTCCAAAGTTTTACATGATGTCCGTGGTTGGTGGCTGTATGCCATAGGGTATGCATGATGCGTGGAAAAGTGCAGTGGTGTTGTTGTAAGGGAGCTGAGTGTAGTAAGTTTTCCCTTGCCAGTACGTGTAGCCTCTCCACCATTAAGACTCCTGCAGTGCCTCCTCATGGCAACACACGCGCGTACATGGTAACGGCATCTTACAACCCCAGGCTGAACTTTAGGGGATCTCAGTGCAGCAGTGGTTCCTAGAGATATGGTCAGGAAGTAAACCCTGTCAACGCAGCTATGGGCAGGGGTAGGTAGAGCTCCTTAGCCCTGTTAGGCAGTCTATCTAAGAGAAAGTGAAAGCTACTTTAAGCAACTACCACAGCCTGGAGAGAGATAGTGCCGGGACAGGAAAGAGGTGAAAACATCAGGTGCAATATAGCACCAAAACCAACACTAAGTCTTAAAACTTCCACACTGGATTTGTACGCGCAATGATGGATGCAGGGGCAAACAACCGCCCTAAGGGACGCACAACACCACAGTCGCAAGGGAACTAGCCAGACTGTATGTTCCTATTGCTGCTGTCAGCGAGGTACCCTTTGAAGATCAGGGGTCATCAAAGTCTGATTTCCATATTGACATATTGACGCAGAGAGAGCATCGCCTTCCACTTTCTGACGATGCCCAATCCTATGGAAACACTTTATCGCGACTGACGCAAACAGGAACGGCGACAGTCGGTAAACTTGAGCTAATTGGTTCCACTTTGCCGACTGTCTGCGTGGAGTCGCCGGAGTTGTGGCCTATACAAGGGTGTACAATGATGTATCTCTCACTTAGTGCCACTCATTTTGCCCGTTTCTCTTTATTAACATATGACGCCCCAATTGTCAACAAAATAGCTTACTATGAAAAATATATCCTTCTGGAGTATCGATTTGGCTTCAAGAGACAAGAGGCGATATCACAACTTTACTAAAGGCATGCATTTTATGAAAAAAAGTCCGAATTTCGGACGCCAGTTTGTTCAATTTTTTGCTGGAAAGGCTTCACGCAACGTCTCTTCCACGACTGTCTGCCTCTTGACGTCTGCCTCGAGTTGTCTGTCCGGCGTGGCAGCATCTTCAACTTGTGGCGTCTACTTGCCTAGACGAAGACCTTAGAGTAGCTAGTCCTGGAGCCCCTTTTCACGGATGAATGCACCTCGATTGCTCAAACAGAGGAGGCAGTTCAGAGCATTGTCAACTACTCTGCGAAGGCAGCGAAGGCCATTCGTCTCACAGTTAGTCTGAAGAAGACAAAAGTGCTATACCATGCCTCCGTCTGGTGAACCGTACAGTGACCTGCACTTTACCATCGACAGCACCAAGCTAAACGCAGTGGAGCACTTTACCTAGTCATGTCCAACGATGCCACAACCAACAAGACTTCGACAACCGCCTCTCCGAAGCCGGCAGCTCCTTTTGGCGCTCCGCCGTACGAGAGTATAGTAGTACATGTACACTCTCTGTGCCTTTCCACCAGGCTGAAGATGCAGAGAGAAGTTGTAGTCCCTGCCTTCTTGTATGGAGCTTAGACATGGGTCCTATACAGGAAACAGGTATGGCTGCTAGAGCTCTTCCGGCAACGCTGCCTGATGCGCAAAACCCTTCTCAACATCAAGTGACAGGGCTATTCAAATGAGGAAATGTCAGAACTCACGTCAACCAAAGGCCGTCTTCTTTGGTAAATATCGCAAAGGGAATCGAAATCGAGGAGCCCCCACAGGTGTTCAAGGACCAGCTCAAAAAGCAGCTTCCACCGGTACAACTGGCATCCATCACCTATCGTGCCACCGGGAATTAGCTGTTGACAGATCAGGCTGGTGCCACTGCTTCATTACAGGTAGCAAATCAGAAGAGGAGCTGCTGAGGATAAGAGGAATAGACGTAAGAAGCAGGCTGCCTCACCGATATCCTCAACCCAGGGCTTTCAAGTGCAGTGAGAACTGCGCCACACGAATCGGGCTGCACAGCCTCCAACGAGCCAGCAGAAGATAGACAAACCATCCTCTCCGATATTCGCACTGCGCGAGGAACAAACTATCATCATCACCATAGTGGCTCGACCACATTGTGTTTCCTGTGGTTTCTTTCTTTCATTTAAATTTGTAGGTACTTTATTAAATTCTGTACATGCTCGCAATAATGGCCTTGAGGCCACGATTTTAATGCCTAGTATGCCATTACCCTTTACGGTGTAATAGAAAAATGAAGATTTTTAATCAATCTCTCAAATTTCTGTCCTGTTTAAAAATTCCCTTACAACAGGCAGTCAGAGCAATGCTGCGGTGAGTAGCTAAATCTGACTTTAGTTCCATCTAGGAATGAAGAAATCTGAACATAACTGTTACGTGTTTTGAAAGCTTTACAGCAGGGCTGTAAAATATGCCAATATTCTTTCTTTAGCTTTTCAAATTGAAGATACAAAAATCATGTTCCTACTGGCTTTCATTATGTATAAACAAATCAGAGGTAAATTTTGCGTTGAAGGAATAAAGCTTGCCAGTAGCGCTACAGCAAGTGCCAGAATTTCCAACACTGTGGCATTTGCAGTGTTTGAGAAAATATGTGTAATCACTCTCAATAAAGCGGTTTCTCAAATATTTAGAAAATTCCTTTACGGGAAGCCTTCTGCATGTGGGATGCTGTACTGGCTGGCAAATTTGAATTTTCAGGTCTATTCAGGAAATGTAAGTACATTTTTCATTTTCTGCTTTGATAATAGGGCTACCGCATGTAGCAGTTTTTTTTGGGGGGGGGATATTCCTGTGTATGCTATGCAGGATATCCTATTGATTTTGCAAAGTATTTGCAGACTCACTACTGAAGATCGTACGAACGACTGTTAACGTGTGGGTCGCAGCTGCATGTGTGGTTAAAATCTTGTCAATGAGGGCGCTGTTCAATTCATACATATTCGTGTTGTTCGTGCAATGGGGGTAGGCTTTCGCAGAAGCATCGTAATTTTGCTGATACCCTGCATGCTAGTTGTTGTGTAGCTAGGGCTATAGCTATACTTTGTATGAGAAAATGGCTGATTCAGGTAAGAAGCTCGTACGTAGCAAAAGTGGGCTGCGGATGGTGAGTGTGGAGGACAGAGATTCGAGTCCTTTTCAGTTGGAAGAGCCACATTGGGTGCCGGATGTCCAGGTAAGTTTGGGGAGTTCACAGTCAGCTGAAGAACTCACAATGTACATGTACCCCCCGAACTATGGGGTCCAACGTCCGCTCCCACGAACGTCGAACCCCACATTTCTGGTATAAAGTAATTGTTGGAGGCCGAGGGAGTAACAGTTTAATCTGTATGAACTAAAGGGTTGTGAATTTCGGGACCTCATTCCTATAGACCTAGGCTATAGAAGAATTAGATTTAGGCCTTTCTGACTTACCTAACTAGATGACTATAACATTAATTTGCCGAACTACAGGGTTAAATTTTAGTGAGAGGGCAGGGTTTTGATTGATAATGGGGTAAAAACGACGACAGTGGCACAGACCATGCATGCACGCATGCTTCCACAGAAAATAAACATGTGGATTATGTCAACATGCTATAGATAAGAGTGCCTGTGATTGGTTACTGAAAAGTTCATTAAGAAAGCCTATCTCTGATTGGTTGAGATGATTCATTTGGGAGTAAGAGTAAAAACCAGCCAAAGCTCTGACGTAAAAATTTGCCAGTTCCTTTTTTTGGACGAATTTCGCTGATTGGATAATACCTTATTTGCATGAATAAAAGACAGAGTTTAATTGGTTTAATGTTACGGGGGAGTAGGTCTGTTAGACAGAACGGCACTATACATAACGCGCCATGTTTGTGCATGTCAACTCGACTGTCTCTTCTAATTTACTCTTCCAAATGCAATAGGACTATGGCATCAAGAGACATTACCCGAGTCAGCCTTATAATCTTTTTCAGGCCTGATCTTTTGTAAAAGTAACTAAAAACAGGGGGGTTCCCAAATCCACAATCCCCATAAACTGCATAAACTTTGGGGATTGTGTATTTCGGAACCCCTCTGTTTTTAGGCCTAGTTCCTTTTGCAAATAAAGGTCAACCCTGAAAAAGAGTAGGCCCTACTAGGCAAACAGTTCCTCAGGCAATGTCTCTTCTAGTCTTAATGTTTATCATGACTCTATTTGGGTTACATTGGGAAGAGTAAATTGGGAGAAAAATACTGCTTTCTTACCTTCTGTCGATGTAAATGGACAGTCAAGTTAACACACACAAACATGACAGACTGTATGAGCTTCGGCTGTTTTCTTCAATACTCTAACTTCCCAACCAGATCATCTTGACCAGAGATCAGCTTTCTTATGAAACTTTTCAGTAACCAATCAGAGACACTATACCAAACTAAGCAAGTTGGACAATATTGCCATGTTTATTTTCAGTGGATGCGTGCATGCATGGCCTGTGTCAATGTTGTCATTTTTGCCCCATAATTTCCCTTAAAAAAAGTAAAATCCTGCCCTCTCTGTACAAAATTTACCCTGTAGCTTTGCAAAATAATGTCATACATGTAGACACCTGCTTGAAGTGAATCTAGTCTGAAAGCTTAAATCTAGTTTTTCATTCTATGTAGGGAGGGGGGTCCCCAAATACACAGTCCCCTAAACTTCGACACTTCAAGGTTAGGCTCACTCATGTTAGTTCAAACCAACAACATGCTGTCAATATGCCTTACTAACATCAACATGTATGCCGTAAATGCTGTAGCCATAGGCCCAAGAAGAGTAGACTCTGCTTGGTTCCTGTTACGCCCAATGTGGTAACTCTATTTTCTTCGCATCAGAATTTTGTATTTTGCGTTGTCAGTAAGCCCCGAATTAACAATTTTCACCCAGGTACATTAATTGAATAACTTAGGGGGTTAAAATTAGATTTACTCTTACCCCCTAGGCCTTTTTTGCTAGGGACCCTCCTCGATCCTCCAGAATCCTCCAATTTGGGGGATGAAAAAATTGGATTTTCCCTAAATCCTCTAAAATTTCTTGAGAATGTTACTTGGAGGTGTGCCTGTTGCCTCAACCCTTCAACATCCTCCGGCAATTCCTGTTGTTATGTTAAGGCAGTGCGAATGGCATACCTGAGCAGAAATATCGGGCTGAATTTATTCATGACTCAGCAACAACAATACAAGTTCTAACCCACGACCTTCATGCATGGCATCCTTTGCAATAAGCCATGCACTTTTGCCATGTATCCACCCTCAATCCTCCCAAGTCTTCCAAAACCACCCGAAGGATTTTGGAGGATTGAGGAGGGTTAAGCTTAATAAAATATAGAATGCAAAATGTTGCAACTTTTGTTATGCTTTGGTAATTTTTAATGGAAAACCGTGTGAGAAAAATCTGTTTTAAGAAAAAGTATTTTCTAAGTACATTATGTAAATCCGTCAATATTTTCATAGCTACATGTACATGTAAATTTGACCTTTGAAGACATGTTATAATTTTTCCATGGCTACATGTAGTTAACCTGTGCAAGGAAAAAATTTAATGATGTCTGCTTGTGGGGCAAATTATGGGGGGCAAGCTATGGGGACTTTGGGTCCCATCCCCAAGAGGAGCTTTTTTTTTTCAAACGAGAGAAAGGTGTTTTTTTGGTCCATTTCATTTCTCTTCCTTTCGAAAGTGTGTAGAAATCCCCAAACTAGCCCCACTCCTTATAAAGGCCACCCCCAACAAATTTGGGTTCCCCTCCTAAGTAATGTGTGTCTACATGTAGATTTGCCCTTGTCATTAATCTTCAGTGAACGCCTTGATGGGTGTAATGACACGGGACAGGCATATTAAATAAAAGCACACAGAAGCATGTTTCTCGTCTTGCCCATTATGCACACATGTCCTTAACGCGTGATGCTGGCTCTAACCACACACACACACCCCAATGCATTATGGGAATTAACAGGACTACAGCAAATTGCTAATACTGCAGTAAAAAAAAATCTCCTTCCAAAAAGCTTCAGTTGTATGCACTTACAGTACATACATGTATGCTGATATGACTACAGAAAAATAAGCCATCATTCATCATATCCCACATCTGTTAACAGTAGGTGCAAATGTATCGTACATTAAGGTAGCCAAGACCGACTGCATGTGTATACGTAGACCCTGACCTACATGTGTGTGTGTGTGTGCATGTACAATGTATATACTGCTTTATAAATGTACGTGGATCCTGTATGACTAGGGGAGGTCGCATAACGAAATGATCACAGGAACACAGGATACATGTTTTGGATTGATATCAGTCTGATAGTGCCCTTATGAGAATCTGCTTGAATCAGCCACTTTATTTTTGTCATTTTCCCTACAGTGTTTGGCGTGTGCCAAATGTGGTAGCAAATATGACCTCGTCAAACGCAGGGTATGTACCTATCATTGTATTCGACACCGGTCAAGAGACCCATGCAGTAGAAATTGAATGCAATCCTTGTCAATGTTCTATGTGTGAATGTCCTGTATTAACTCCATTCTTAATTTCCATTTTGACACTTTTGTCCTCTTTCTGGATGCTGCCCGTACCTCCACTGACCCTACTTTCCACTCTTGGTCTTCTCACACTTGACTTGAGCGTGTGCAGGTACACCTACCATCATGCTCTTGCTTGACTCCCCCCAGAAAGCATTTGTATTCACACTTTTGTCAAACTGTTCAAGCTACATGTACATACCCGGTGCGTGTACAGGTGTACACAGGTGTACATACATGTACATGCAACATTTGATCCGACAAACATGATGTCGGAGCGTTAAATGTAGACCTACAGGTACGTGAAGGTGTTTTTTTTCCCCAGAAAGCCATGCAGCTAAGGTATACATTGTGCACATGTGCACAGCTACATGTACGAATGGGGATCACATTCTTACAGGTCACCAATATCAGCAAGGTCTGTTGAAATCTTTATCCCGAGGCTGTGCGTTGCTGTATGTACTCGTACACTTACATGTACTCCTTGCAGGCGTGTTATTCCTTGAATGTCAAAGATGCATGGGTTGTGATGTTACAGGAAATGACAAGTCGTGTTGCCATGACAACAGAATCCTAATTGATATATGTATGTGCTGTTGTGAGTGCACTGCATGTATAAGGAAGTATGCTTTGGTTAAACCAAGAGCTTTTTAACATTCAAATGAAAATTCAGCTTTGAGGAATTATTAATGTGCACAGTGTTCTGATACTTGCAATTTGTTGTCAAAATGTATTCAAATAATTCAATAGATTTTAAGTGTACACCTAAAGTGTCAAAACCTTAAGTCCCTCAAGAGACTTTTTAACTGAAGCCAGAGGCAACCTCACTTTGGCAAAATCATAACTGTTTCCACATTAAACATCGGATACAGCCTTGATTCTCAGTGTGTTCTTAGCAGTTGTGGTCTTGTGGACATGCCTCAATCCATCAGAATTCCCTAGCAACAAATACCGGTAGTTGATATGTTGAGACTGTTCAGATCATGTTATAGAGCAGTGCAGATCATTTTTGGTATGCTCTGCCTATATTTATGGATGGCCGGGCATAAACAGCACAAGATCTGGCTGAAGTCCTTGGTACATTGCGTCCTTTGAAATGAGCAAGGTTTCGTCACATGTGGTCTCAATCCTGTAAGATCTTCAGCTCATACAGTGTATGTGTAGGCAAGGAAGATTTGAGAATGTTAGTGGTAAAGCAGTCCATTTCAGACGACTCCAAATCCCACAAGAATTTTCTGTGCCAGTCGAATGGTACACGGAGGACATCCAAACACACTGTGTTCATTTCAGTATGCAGTTGTGGATGACATCTTTGCTAATCACCGTGCTTGAGTGATTCCAGTGTTTTAATTCACTGACGCTCAAACTAGTCCGAAGAGGTTGAAAGAGCATGGAGTTCTCAAGTATCCTTGTGCCATGGGCAGGTGTTAAGTTTTAGCAATGTCGCTCAGTGACATTGTCTTGGAGCATTGAAAAGCCACATTGTGGCAAGAAATGTCACAGAAATCTTGACTGATTGACCAGCAAGTGTTAACATTTGTAACGTCCAACTTCGTAAAGGACTGCTTGCGTATTGTCATTTCAAAAGCCTTGTTAGCTGTACTGTACACAGTAAATATTCTAAGCACTAAGCGCTTCTCCTATGAACACCTGATCTTCAAATGCATACATACACTTATGAGCAAACACAGGTTCAGTACAGTGAACATGTTGAACTATATGTATGCATGTGAACAGAGTACATACATGTACATGTTTATGCGTATTACGTGGACATGCACATGTGCATGTTGCATTTTGAACTAGTGCTTGAGTGTCGCTTGTTTTTTTTTCTGTTTGTATTAAACTGCTTTTCTTAAATCGTTGTTCCTCTCTAGCATCACTGTCGGCGTTGTGGCAAGTGTTTCTGTGGTCAGTGCTGTTCTTCTAAGGTGCCCCTGCCTCGTATGAATTTTGTGGATCCAGTCCGAATGTGTGAAGAATGTGCCGTCGTCTCCAAGAAGGAGAATGAATTCTTTGACAAACAACTCAAGCTTCTCGTAAATGGTCAGTTTTTTTGATAGAAAAGGCATTTTGAGTATCAACCGTTTGGCAAAGCTCACCTTCACAATGAATGGTTGTATGCGTGAATCTGTTGTATGCATGTATTTGTGCAACCACGCCCACCAGCTACTCAGACCTATTGGTGCGGAATCTGACCCCAGAACTGCTGATTGGTTAATGCATCAAGAAATCAACAGCCTTAGTAGCTGTCATCTACTGAAAGGACCAATGAGATTGGTTGCACAATCTGGCAATCATAAATTTATGTTTATTTGCTTTGTCCCAGTCATTGCTGAATCGGCACACTCATCAGAGACATTTGCTGTCTGTACCACAGACAAGTGGCAGTAGCATACATACCTTGCACAATGCCTCAGCTCGAATTCTACCAATTTTGTGCAGTGCCTTCAGGTCTGATTGGAGTTTATTTGATGACATGTTAGGGATCACACTGGGTAACTGTGCATATGTTGGTTTTGACTCATGCAGTTCTTGTCAACCTCAGATGTGTCCATATGCCACAAAATACAGCCATCCTCTTAGAGAAACCCATTTACACATACAACCAGATGTAAAGAGGGTTGTGAAGCTGCTCGTCAATGTTTATGATATTGTAAACATTGTGGAAATGGCTTTTAGTGCTTTCCTTTAATTTTTTGCAACAGTCATGAAACATTGAATATGCAATAAGTTCCTTTCACCATTTTGGAAAGGTTTTCTGTTTTCTCATAAAAAATTGGGCAACGAATTTCAAAGTTTGCGCAAGAACAAAGCCATGCATTTCTCATATAAATGTTGATAAGTTGACCAAGCGTAAGCTTAACACAGTGAACAGAATTTGGCAGTGAAATCATCACCGCAGATATGGTTTCAGACAAGAAGTTGGCAGATGATATTGCCGGCTGGTTAAATTAAGTCATATTTCAGCAGTACCATTTCACTGAGTGTTGCTCTTTTGTCTTACCCACAGGGAGCAATTTCACGTTGAAAAGTAATGAGCTGGAAAATGACAAAGCAGAAGCATTCTGTCACCTATCTGCTAATCACAGGTTTGTTGTGGATGAATTTTCAACAGGGATATTTATTTCTGAGAATGAAGTTATTTTAGAATTCCTCAATTAGATTCGTGAAGATTATGTGCATTCATGAAAAGAACTTGGAGAGCTGGAAAGTAGACCGCTCAAGTGATTGTGTTCATGTTGACCAGCTGAGTTTGGCCTTGTTTTGACTAAAACCTAGTACCATCCAGAATGATCGTCTGTGCCACTGGTAAAATCATCAAAAGTCAGCAGCATCTTTTAACCCAAGAACAGGACATGTACATGTCTGGAAAAAAAAACTGAAGTGGACAGAATGATGCAGCAGAGCGAGATGGAACCCTGTGGCTCTGCACAGTCGCGTTGACCACTGGACTTTTCACTGAAATGGGGCCAATTTCATAGAGGTGTTCAAAACAGAAATTACCCATACATAGAAAATATATCCCTACAGACTAAATCTTTCTGCTGTGTGAATGATTGAGCTGGTTGGTATTCACATGGTCCTTTGGTAAGCAGTACAGTGTATTTCCAGTAGGCGTAAATGATTTTTCATGTACTTGTTTCTATATTTGTTAGGACCTTTTCTATAACTGTCATATTGTTTTTGATGCATACATGTGTATTTTGTTTTGTAAAAGTATTGTGTGCCTTGAGCATCACTTGTGATGGATTTATAAATCATATATAATAAATTCTTCTTTTTATTATTAGTAGCACAAATAGGTCATTTGGGAGACACTTTGTTGTAAATTTTTCAACCTTAGGGAGACATCGGTCATTAGGGAGACATTTCTCCCCATGCCCCAGCTACCAGAAGGAGGCCGAATTTTTACGGTCCAAATTTTGAGAGATTATAGATTAGGGTCTAAATTGAAAACATACAAAGCTTGGTTCAGATCAGATTAGGGAATATTTGATTATGGGACAGTAAAGTTTGTGCACGTTCTTATGGGAATATCTCCCAAGTGACCCATTTTCGGTAATCCATATTATTATTATTATTATTTCTTGCAACATTTCGGAATCCTGCCCGAGTCTCAAAGTTCAAGGCCGGGCACAAACAAGGTCATATTAAAGCTCTAGCTCTCTCTGTCTGACTCTTTCACTATCTTCTAGGAGTCTGTTTTTCAGTGAGGAGAAGCCAGACCGGGAGAACAACCGACCGTCCAAGTGGGTCCACGATCCAGTCAATCTGACCAGCATCCAGGAGGTTAAAATACAAACGGCTGGTAATGAGACTAACCAGAGTGAGTTGAACAAACAGTGCTGGCACTGAAGAAGGGGAACACAGGACAGGTTTATATCACTTTCAAAAATAAGAGGAAAGGATTGACACCGAGAAGGAAAGTGGAATAAATGTACATGTAGTTGGTTGGGCAAAAGACAATACATGAAAAAATCAACCTGTGAATTAAATTACAAGACCCAGTCATATTGTTGTGTTGCGTCCAAGTAAAAAGTATTCACAGAGCTACAACATTTTCAGATTAATCAGATTAGCATGTGTGTGCAAGACAGTGTTGTATCTGAGACCTTGATGTCTGAGACCAAGACCCACTCCTTCAAGACCGAGCACTTCCGAGACTGAGACCAAACATTACAATTTTATACTTTTTACACAAAGGTAAATGAGGACAAGCAACATAAGATGATGAAATTATACTGAATGTATGAAATAAAAAAAAATTAACATGGAACACACCATCAAACATAAATAGATTAAATATTTCTTCAAGACTTGAAACTTTTTATTTTACCTCTGGGAAAAACACTGAAGTTGTGATGAGCTGCAGACTTTTGATATGTCAATACCGTTAGCATGTGTATGGGTTAATTATAACCATCAATTCCCAAGCCTATTTTCATTGAATTTCAACTAAGATGTATGGCATATTTATACATTTCACACAAACCTATTGGGCATGATCCAATACCTAAGTATGAAATGACCTTATGTTAATGCTGTATGTCTGAGTTTACCAGAGATACTGTACACTGTACAATGTTAATGATCACTGGACTGGTAAGAAAGGTCAGCCAAAAATTACCCACTGGTACATGTATGTGTGAAATTGTCATTTCAACCTGAGTGACCCCACTGATGTAAACATTAAAATGTTTGTTGTTGTTTTTTTGGTGAACAAAAATTAAGAAAAAATGAGTATCCAAATAAGATCTGGTACATGTAGCAGTACGTGTACACATGTGTATATTTACATGTACATGTATGTACATGTACATTGTGCAAAAATGGGGATGTGTGCCAGTGAAATAAATGGCACACTGCAAACAAGTTCCAGTGCTTCCAACCTCATCTCTGTCATGTTGAGCAATACTTTCCAAGGCTGTCTCCTGTGCTGGAAAACTGCATCCTGTATTGACTAGTCTCCATTCAGGCATCAATTTCATTCTTTATCATGAAAATTTGAACATTACAATGTTGTATTTACATCCATGTTTGGTATCTAGACTCATGCGGAGGTCAGCTGGTGAGTGTGTTCATGAGTGGTAGCTAGGTGCACATTGTGTTATGGTCTCGACAGGTCTCGAGGGGGAGACCAAAGACCTTGACATCTGAGACCAAGACTGAGACCGGCACTTTTGAGACTGAGACCAATCCTCCCGAGACTGAGACTTTGATAGGACAAGACCGAGACCACAAAAAGGTCTCGAGACGGAGACCAAGTCTTGAGACAGACAACACTGGTGCAAGATTGTGAGGAAATTTGTGCTTCAAAGAAAAAAATGTCCAGGTGACTAATGGTCCGCTCAACATTTTACTTGAAATTCACCATTTCCTTTTGAAATTTTTTTCCCAGTTGCATGTTGAAAGTGGGCAATCCTGATGGTTTTGCCAGTCCTTCTCACCCTCTCCTTCGCTAGGCACCATTTTTCTCAGTAGCCCCATGAAATAATTTTCTGATTACTCCATGGTGTTGCAGGATTCCAGCTGGCAAATCATAAAGTGTAGCCAAAGCTTTAGCCAAATGAACACTTTTGCAGTTGCTCACTTTTTTTATTCAGTGCTAAGTACAAATTTTCTTGAAAGTTGCTTGGAATCATAGCCAAAGCTAGTCAGTATTTGTCAGTTTGGTGAAAGTGGAAGTTGTTATACCTCTGTCTTTAATAATGTACCTGTGGTTTCATTCCCCTAGACAAAAACACATGGTGACAGAAACGTATGTCATTCTCACTGTTATTATATCACATCACATTGTAATATCAAAGATCAGACCCTACTCTGCAGTTCAGTCCATAATGCAGGGACCGCTAACCAGACTATTCATTGGTGACTCTTCTGCTTTTACCATAAAAGTGTAGTGCAAATGAATGGAGGATAAGCACATGTTGGTTTGCAAGCTGGTAGACATGCTGCTACTCGTGCGTGTCTTTTGCACAAAAAATTGTGCCTGTGACATATTTACTCCAGCACTACATTTGATAATAATATACTCCATCATCAATAAACTGTTAACAGTAAAACTTGGGTGCTATGAGTCCCTCTGGTGCCAAAATATATGTCCTGTATTTCAGTAGTCAGTAACTGGAAGCTCAAACCCAGTGTAGACCACTTTTATATAGCCTGGTTACTGTCCTTGTAGGAAATGCTGTCATCACCTCCATGTCCATCAAGTACAGATACATCGATGAGTCCCGGGATCTACTGCTCTTTGTGTCAGACGACTATTCACGGAAGACTGCCTCCTCCTGGATCATTGCCATGCAAAAGGTCAGATTCAAATCACCTGTTTTCCATTGCATCTGTTGAGGTGTTGTATCAATGCACCGTGGTCTCAGGAGAAACATCGGAGAGTCTTGGGCCAAGACTGCAGAACTCGATAGCGGACTCGATTGAGCATATGCGGCGCGCGCCAATTTCCATTGCACCCTTTCGTGACTTCATTTCACCAATCGACGGCTTGTTCTACTTTCTTGGGAATCTCCTACAACCGAGACTTGGCCTTTGTATGCAAAATAGTTTAGTGCTTGTACTGTACATTTTATGCGTAATAGGTCATGTGATGCAGGTCATTGATCCATATTCACCACATACAGGTTCAAATGGAATTTCCCAGGTGCTGATTGGTTCCTCCAGAAATCTGCAGGAAAACTAAAGAAAAAGCTAAACAGTTTGTAGGAAATTCCCAAGACGTTAGAACGAGCTGTCGATTGGTGAAGTGAAGTCATGAGAGGGTTCAATGGAAATCAGGGCCCGCGGCATATTTTATGCTCGATTGAGTCCGCTATCGAGTTCTGCCGTCTTGGCCCAAGACTACTGGTATCTTAGAATTACTGTCTGATGTGACTGTATTGTCCCCGTCCTAATTCCTTCCATTAATACAAGTTTACATTTACATAAGATTGTACGATGAGTGGGAGTATCTTGTGAAAGATGTGCAGTGCAGGAGCATCTACTTTGGCTTCACAATGCTAGCGTAATAGGTTTTCTCAGTGACCTCTTGATGTACCATCGGCATTGCTGATTAAATGGAACCCAAGTCGAATTCACACTGAGTCATCTCTCTGCTTTGAACGGTGATGCTGGTGTGAACTCCTAGCGATTTACTGAGATCGAGCTTTCCTGTGACTTCAAAAACTTGTCTGAAGCAGTTTCAGGCAGTCCAGATTTGGGTCCTCTCGAATTCTTGGCTATATTATTATCTCTTTGACATTTTTTGGTCCTTTTTAGGCTATGAAGATGCTGCAGCCAACAATGGAGCTACCCACATCTTGATGGTCCTGTCTGGTCCCCATCTCACAGGAATGCGGTAGTACACAGTCACACACAGTAGTCATGCTATCACAAGTTGGCTCAGAATCTGTTATGGTCATTTTCACCAGGCAGTATGCTGCATGAGTATCCCTACGTAAGGGTCAAAAAGGGAACATAGAGCTTAGGACAACCCAAAATTAAACTATGACAAGCTGTTGTGGTGTGTGATATTGATATGGAAAAATGTATTGTGCTGTTAATAGTTCTGGAGATAAATTGATGCCATGGTGAAGTAAAAGTCAGAGAGTTTGTAATTATTCCCTGGAGGCTTTTAAAATCTGAGGTCCAGTTCAGAGCACTTATCCAACAACTTAGGACCAGTGAGATATGCTTATTACTTTCTTTAATACAAAGTTTGTCGGATCAAATGTTCAAGTTGTAGATAAAGATAATTTTGCCATCAAAATTGACATCAGGCAAACAAAATCAACTCTGTACACAGTACTTACCTAGCTTTTTCTTGTTTATAAACACCTTTTCACACTGTTGAACTTGTGTCAACCTTTCCTTTTTTTCTTCCCCAAGTTTAACTCACTGGAGAAGTGGAAATTACATCAGGGCTTATTTCTTGTAGAGTCAAGCACGAGACTGTTTTGTGGAGACCGTATGAGGACAGTAAAGACCACTCACTTTGTAGACCTGAAGTTTGTTTGAAATGGCGAAGCAAGCAAAAACTTTTACACGTTTGTGCCATAAGCACAACTTTCCTGCCAAACAATTAAATAGCATAATTAAAATTGGCCCCCTTTAACAAACTTCTTTGGAACTCCTGACAGGTTAATAAATAGGTTTAGACGGGAAGGGAAACCCTGTGCATGTTTGTGCAGTCTACAGAATGTTTGTTTCTGCACATTAAAAAGGAAATTTCCTCATAACTCAGGCCCTGGAAGTTGTACATGCCCTGCTGTGTTTGCTACCGAGATGGATGAAAACAAGCGCCCCCCCCCCAAAAAAATGATTTCTTATACTTGTAACCATCTGCACAAGTAGTCCTGAGAAAATTGGTCCCACTGAGATTTGAAAAAAAAAAAATAAACAATACCTCTTGTATCTCACACCATCCTGTTCAGGGTCGTGATTTGAATCAACTTCATGCAACCATACATTTTTAATTTTTATACACGTGCATTTCCGTTGAGTCGTGTAGAACCTGTATATGTACATACATTTGTGTTACTCGGTTGAACATTTTTTACGTTAACGAAATGGAGGTGTTGACTGTTAAAGTTCGAGGACAAGGTGGGAATTTTGAAAGTTGTGACAATTTGAAAGTCCTCATCCTGTATTACAGGACCCTGTACATACACGTACATGCGTATACGTACATGTACAGTTTACACAGCGTGTTCTTCAGCCCTTTTACTTCTACTGAACTTGTTACCACTTTACTATTCAGTTATGTAGATTCGTAATGTAATATGACTGCGGGAGCACCTGACGGCAGTAGTACCATCGAACTTGAGGTGTGTATGCAGTTTGGGAAGTCACAACATGCTGTTGGTCAACGAGGTCTTCAGCGGGCGCACGCAACCTTTGCACTAGCTTAGCCACATTGCAATAATGGCTTCTAATTCAGATTACCAGCTTACTCTGTACAAGTCCCCCTGCAGTTGGCTGATTTGAGGGGCTTTCTTTTTATTCTATTGCCCAAATTTGACCAATATTTGGAACTAAATATAAAAGAACCCCTTAAAATCAGTGTGTAATCTTTTCCTGTATACCTAAAATTTCGGGCAAAAATGCAAGACCTCACTATCTCTTGCTAAAATATTTGCCGTAGCACATTGTTTTTTCCTCCCTTTGGGCAAAGTTGACACGCATTAGAAAAGGTAAATTGAGTAAGAACTGTCATAATCATTTTTGAGTTCATTGTTTTTTTCTTTTTTAAAAATATCCACAAAGTATTTTCCCTATGAGTGAAAGTGATACTGCAAACTGAGCAAAATCCTCTAATTTGGTTGGCAGTTTTGTGATTGTATCTTAAGCAAGACAGGAAAAGATTTGCTACAGTGCTCTTGATGAAGCCGTCACAGTCATTAGGCCAGACAATAGGCTGAATTTTCCCGCTGCTCTAGGTTGAGAGGGGTGTATGTTGAAACTTTATCATTCTCTTTCTGAGTGTTAAATTGTTGCCATGCAGACCTGTGATTTAAATGTGCTACTCTTTGACAGAAATGAAATCTGGATTCAAAAAATTGTTTCTGTTATTCTTTTAAAATGAAGTTTATGTGTTGTTACATTTTCCAAGAATATCATCGCTTTAATTTGTAGAAAATTGATACACATACAAAAACATGTGGTGTTCACTGTTATCACTGAAAAAATTGCTACTCTAGTAACGTACATGTACACTGACATGTACATGTATCTCCAAGCGTCTGTTCGTAATTTTTGTCTCATACTAAAGACAAAATGTATGTCAAAATTCAGTGATGTATATATACATGTAGGTTCGGCATGTCTGCAGTATTATAATGCAGATAATGTGTGTATACATGCACATGTTTAACCAAGCAAAAATGAGGTCATAATATGTGCTACTTGTATTTTGCTTTTATCACTGTTGGAGAGTTGGTAGGTTGCAAGGTGTTTGTACCTGGAGGGGCATTACGCAAGTCATTACTGCAGTTTCAGAGATGAGTACAAAGATCACCACGGTGATGTTGATTTATAGTTAAGTTTTTTTCATTACTTTTTGATGTGATTGTCTACAACTACCAGTTTTGATGCTTGAGCCTTTTTTCACCGGGACATGTGGTGTCCACGTAGGCAGAGATGTATTCTTTCACAGACCAGCAAGTCAGAAGGCACAGAAAACTATCAATGTTTAAATTCAAAGGCTGTTTTTAGTAACTGCCACTGTTGAGACAAATTCTCATTGGCTCATTCTTGATAGCTGACCAAAGCTAGGTTGTTTGTGCATTTTTACAACACGTGAGCAAAATGTTCTCATGCGATAGCATGCAAAAGATAAACTTGACAGTAAACACTGTCAAGTTTACTTGCTTTAGTTGTCACACACTAGCCCATGTACATGTACACGTTATCTGCCTTATGTTAGACAGTTTGATTGATGCTTATCCTAGACTGCATTCTTATGTATCTACATGCCTATTTTTGGCAAAACAGGCCATCACAGAGATGTTACAAGAACTGGATCTTTTAAGGTCAGTGACATGCACCAGATAGAGCAACATGTATATGTGTTATTGGCTCTTCTCCCAAATTTTAATTTACTGAAAAGTCAGACAAAAACCATATTAAACCTTCAACACCAGTTCTGTGTTGCTGTGTGTTGTAGGAGTGGGTGGCAAAATGCAACATGTACCATAACACTGATTGGATATGCGCTTTGCTTTTGGAAATTTGCCACTACGAACTATTATATACTATTGTATAAATGTACAAGTCAATATAGAAAATTAACTCCTGTACAAGTTGTATTAAATAAGAGTTGTAAGAGAGCAGAGAGAGACAATGGCATTTATGTGTCTTTGGTAGCTTTATTTATCAAATCGATAAAAATCTGGTTATTATAGATACAAATCAGCACTTGATGATGCAGCTCAAATAAAAATTACCAGTTGTCATTTTCAGAAAAACATTTGCTACGATTTCATTTTTAGTTTCAGCTGATTCTTCTGCCAACTCTTCTTGATCACCAATGCGGTGATCTGTGATAATTAGAGATGTTTGGGGATTGAATCATACAGTGGAAATACAACTAGTTCTCATGTACACGTGGCCTATCCTATTAAAGTGACAGGTGTGTCAGGTCAGAGGTTCCTGACAGTGGAACTATTGTGTTTAAGGGATGACTTTTTTAATGAATGCCGACATTTTTCATTAAGTAATTCGTGAAATTACATCAGATTGTACTTGTAGACAGACACTGATCTCTCTCAAAGCCTTCCTGATTGCACTATCAAGTTTGAAGAATGCAGTCGTATGGTAAGTCTAGCCATAAATGACAGAAGAATCAGCTTCATAAGCACAAACAAGTACATGTTTGTTCCAAGCTTCAACAAATGGAAAACAGGTCAAAAACAAACTAGGAACGCAACATATGCAATGCCGTCCACGCATACAGCGCAATGTATGCACAACTATGCATAATTTTCTTCATTATGAGTAATATTTGATGCACACAAAATCAACAGGGACTTTGCATGCATTTTGTGTGGGAGGCGACAATGGTGGTGTCGGGTGTCAGGTGTCGCAGCTCTCCCTTTGGCACCACAGACGGGACACATGTACGTATGCCAGTGTACACATCCATTGGTCTTTAGAGGGATGTACCTAATGCATGTATCTTCATTAGTAGGCCGAATTAGTGCAAAGCATGAGCTGGACACACTGCTCACTTGCACAGTCTAAAACCTAGTTAACCTTTTAAAACTAGTTTCGTTTCCCTGCTTGAAATCTGATTGGTGGTGTAATTCCTAGAAATTTGTCTGCCTACAGCCAGGAACTAACATTTGCCTCAAGTATTAGCATAATGATCTGAAAGCAGGAAAATATTGCTCAGTATCTACGGCACTTTTGATATAATTTACTCCAGAAGATGATCAATTAAAGAGCAACTCTAAAGAAAACATGTTTTCTCTGATTTTTATCTGTTCAAATAAATTGGAAAGATCCAAATCGAACGCACTGTCATTTGTTTTCAGAGCTCAACTGTAACAAGCTAAAAAGGGTTTTTTTTCCTGTTCATGCCAAGATGCGAATTCTGACCATGCTGAATGTAGATTGCATCATTCAGAGAAAACGAGGGGAACCCTCGCCCTGTGTTCATAATGGATAAACCTTTAGCCATTGTTTGGTGTGCACAAGAGAATTATCCTCTACGAACACAAGGTGAGGGATCCCCTCGTTTTATATGTTTTTTCAGAATGATGCAATCTACATTCAGAATTCGCATCTTGGCATGAACAGAATAAAGCCCTTTTCAGCTTGTTATAGTTGAGCTCTGAAGACAAATGACACTGTGTTCGATTTCTATGCTTCCCTATTTATTTGAACAGATAAATTAAAAAAAAACATGTTTTCCTTTGAGTTGCTCTTTCATATAGACAGAGAACCACAAAGAATCGGTTTCCTGCATCCTTATCCCCAAAATAAAATGTCCACAAGCTCAAATCGAAAGTCCTCAAACCCCCTATTGTTGGGCTGGGGAAGAGGTTGCAGGACTGCCAAATAACCAGCTTTGGCAATGATGCTGAACATTCTTGTCTATTTTCGCAGGAACTTGAATGCATCTTTGCTGAAGACGTAGCTGAAGCCTGAAAGAATGGTTGTTGCTGCCGTGGCGTACCTGCAAAATGTAAACGATAAAAACATGTAATGCACAAATCTGTACACAATGCCATATTGTCCGTCTGTTTTGACAAGTATTATTAAACATTAGACAGGTGAATCAATACACAGACAAATTCGGGCTGAAGATTTTGTGCAGTTCTGTGATCAAGTGCTCATTTTCACAAGCAAGGCACTTTGATTATATTTTGCACACAATTTTTTGTGCTAATGACTACCTACTAACGCACAACACTTTCACTGATAAAGCTATTATTTACAAGTAAATTTAACATCATAAAGAAGTAAGATCATGAGGGTTAAAGGTCTCTGAGGGCAGAGGTCAAAAGGTTTGGAGGTATTTGGGAAACAGAATGAAAAATTCTCAGAATATTGTTTGTTGTACTTCAGTCAAACCTGACTGGTCAAAAGTGTTGATGTGTCAAAATAGTAAAATACTGAAAAAGACTTTTACAATTTCCAGTTTTGGTATTATGCCAATGGGAGACTTTGAGCAGCATGGTGGCAGCAGACACAACGGTCCTTTTTGTTTGATGTGGGCATGCGCATGCATTTCTAGGCATGCGTGTTAGTTCTGAGCACACGCACAACTGCGGAAAAGGACTGGTTTGTCTGCCGCTACCATGCGTCTCAAAGTCTCCCATTGTTAAATCACCAAATAACACTGACACCATGATATCCTTTTTTTCAACTGTTTCTTTAATTCATGTTTAGTAGGCACTGAAAAGTTACAAATGTTGATATGTCTAGAAATTAAAGGAAAAAAGTTGTCTCTTGAAGCTTTTTCCAATCTTCTCTGTGACAGCTTGTGGCCAGCTCCATCTCATTTTACTAGAATGCCTCACAGATATAGCGAAGTCTTTACTCATCTGGATGGGTTGTTAGTGTTTGTACTCACCAAAGTGCATGCAGCAAGGGATGGTCCACATAATGGAAGACTGGAGCTGCCAAGGTGAAGCCTACGAGACCGAGCTGAACAGCTGTGTTCAACTAGAAAAGTGACCCCCAAAAAATGTTCTTAACATGTTCTAAGCGAATTATTCTCTGCTTCTCAAATTACCTGCAGAAGCTGCAAAACGGGGAGTTGGAGGTTACCACAATGCGTGCTTTGGCTGAAATTTCTAGGACAACAGAGAGTGCATTTCTGCTGGCATAATTCTCCAATGAAGCTAGCTCCTTCCTGATACACCAGTTTACAGGGTTGTATTTAAAGTACAACATGATGAAGAGATATATCCATGGTGCTACCGCAAACCTATCTAGTTTACTTGCTACCCCCACCATGAAAAGCTTCAAATCTCATGATCTTCAAGGGTCAGAGTTTATGCAGTTTTCTAAATCAGTCAAAGCCGAATGATGAAAAAAATGGCATGTGCAAGTCAACACTGCACATTTCCAATTCCCATGCAGTTGGTGTCAAAATGAACACAAGACATCAACAGAAAAAATGTCCTATTAGGGCTCAGCACAATGGCAACATCTGTTGCAACGGTATCAGAGAAATGTCCGAGAGGGCAGATGTTCCGGGCCCCCCGAACTCTTTTTAGGGTTAACAGAAATGGAAGATCACAGAATCTGTGCCTTTTTGTGGTGTGCAGTGATGATTTGAACTACTATTACCTCCCCCTTAATCCAAAGGTGAATAGTGCTGAAATACATGTCAGTTCACTGCATCCTTTTGGGATTTACATCGTATGATCCCCATCACTGAGAAGGACCTGCAATTATATGTACCACAAACCTTGCTTATGGTGGTGGGCTTGAGCTGGACGGTGGCGTGGGTGATATCAAAGAATCGGCTGACCGTCCGTGGCGGTGGTAGGGACTGGTACCGGAGATAGAAAACACTGCCTACCAGGCCAACATCCCTGCTTACCATCAGGATGGTTAGGGGAACTGCAGACGGAAAAATGACAGCAAGAGATAGAACAAATGTATGTGGCAACGGACGTGACAAATTTAATAGTCAAAACTAGTTGAAAAGGTTTAGTACACAGTCTTTTTACACTGGATGCCGGCAAAGCACACATTCTGCTGTTAATTAACCACACTCTCCCTGGGCGTTTGTACATGTATTTGGATCCTCTGGTATCAAACACCGTGCACAAAGACGGTGACACACTTCTTGTAGGTCTCAGTTCATGGAGCTCTACCGTAAAGGAACAGTGGCTGAGCTGCTCCTTCTCAATTCTATAAAACGTTCCTACACTCCCTGGTGGGACAGATTGAGTGACAGGCCCGTAGACTGGGGGTTCGAGGGGTTTGAACAAACCCCTCCCCGCTGGCTTCTGAGGTCCGCTTGTTGTTGTTTTTTGTGTGTATTTTAAATATATCGTAATATTCGGCATACGAGCCACAGCTTATACGTTGATTCTCAAGCTCAAGGTGACCACGATTCTGCATATTAATGAATCAATCTCTAGTCATATGTACCGTCAGGAAGTTTCGGCAAATATCTACATTTCAGGAGTTCAAAGGGTTTGAAATCAATGTATTTTTGTTAAGTTTATTCAATATTGAAAACTATAGTGTACAAGTCTTGCATGCAACCTTTGGTTTGCGACATACATGCAACTTTTCAATGTTACTTTCCAAAGCATATTGTGATAGGCCTTTGTATAAAAATATGTGTTCACAGTGCCAAAAGTTTGGTTTGACGAACCCCACCCCAGTCTCTGGTCAGGCAACGGGCCTGAGTGACATGGACACTATAAAAGTGAACCGTATCCAAAGTCCAATAACTCTATCATCTGAGTCCTCCAAAATCCTCCAACGTGCAGGAAATCAATGGTGCATTCTTAATACAAACTTTCGGGGGATAGAAATGAAATGCTTAAAGTCCAATGTGTGCAGTAACCATAGCAGGTCTGAACCTGTGCCTTTCTCAGCCCATCAATATATCCTGGTGGATTTTGAAAGGTTTAGGAGGATTCAGGTTTAAAAAACTTTCCAACTAGCGATATTTTGATCCCGCCATCGCAATAAGCAAGCTGACTTTGGGATACAGGATTTACTATCTCTCAAAATATCTTTTGGTGGAAGATAATGAACGATAAAGAATTAGTCAATGAGTTGGGAAAGCAAATTGGGAAAATGCCCAATTCGCCGCAATTAACTAAAATGACAGCAGGTACGTGGACTTGAAACCAAAATGTCCAAACACAGCTCTGCACGGTCAGGCAATTTACCAGGGATAAGGCCACTGAAAGTCAGGCTAAGCGTGAGGATGGCCACCAAGCACTTGTCAGCCAGTGGATCAATGATGGATCCAAGAACAGACTGCTGATTCCTGAAGTTTCGAGCTATAAAACCATCCAGCTGAAAGGAAAGGACAGGCTCAAGATAAAG